TGGTGGTGGTGGTGGTGGTGGTGGTGAATTCAGTCGGTGGGGTTGCCAGGTCCGCCATGCTGGATTCCTACCGTCGAACGACCCTGTGGTTTTCCGGTAATCGTTGCCAGGGATTCTCACCCCTCCATACGAACCCTCGAGGAGACTGGAAACCACGCCCCATAGCTCGAAGGCGGACCAATGACGCCTGGACGTCGCGACGCGGCCGTCCACCAATAGGATTACCCTCTGATACGGTCTTTCGCTTGTCAATGACTGCTGCACGACCACCACCCTCGCCTACCTCTCGCTGGGGTGCTTTTCAATTTCGGGCCCGCACCCTCATAAACGCAGCCAACCACCCGTTCCACCCACTCTAACACATTCGACCGGCCACCTACACCGCGATAACGCAGTGAGCCAGTGTGTGTGAACGGACGCTTTTGCCGAGCTTTCAGGGACGGATACAAAGGGGGTGATTAAAAAAGACGCCTCGGGTGACGATTCCAGCCGCGGTAAGGAGTATCGTGAATCGAAGGTGAGACGCGGGAGTGGGAATTGTCATGTGAACGAGCAACGGATACTTTCGATAATTGGAATGGATGAAAAGGATTTTGTGGATTTTGAAATTCCTGGATACCTGGCACTTTTGTACAGTTACTTTCATTCAATTTGATTGATTTTTTTTTCAGCTGCCTTGCTGAATTGCTTGTCAGCTGTGACAAGTTTTTGAAACTTTTCGCGACACTTGGCTATACCTTTATTGGCCGGAATAATTGTTTGTTAATTAGGATGCTTGAAATTTTGTTGAATAAAAGGTGAAAATTCTTCTTGAGGAATTCGAAGGTGGAATTCCTGAAATATGTGTATACTTGTAATATGTCCATCCAATGAAAAATTGGATCCATATTCATTCGTATCTGATTATATTTAAAAACAATGCTTTCTAAATTAAATTCATCACGAGTATTTGAAATATTCTTTCCATTCTACTCTGCAAAAATTAAATCCACCATTGTCTCCGTCTACCCGTGGCGCAGGCACGTGTAAAATTTCGTTTCATCAGTTACCCATCGAGATTCACGAAGGATTCACGTGCAGATAGAAATGCCACGTAAAGTACACGCGTGTTTATGAATATATATATCCAACAGGAGAATCATGTGCACGCACATACGAACGCTTGGTACGAGGGTGAGAGTTGTTGGGTCTTCGAACAGAGAGATGTTTCACGTGTGTACGTACGCTCATAAATAGAAGCAACCATCCATCTACTGATTAAAACGAGCGGAAACACATACAGGGGGATGAATAAATACGGACGAGCATTGAGAGTGCGTGTGCCCGTCAGGAACATTTTTCGTGTGTGGAAAAATACGCGGTCGACGGTTAGTTTGCCAATTATTTCGAACAGTTAGTTTGCCAATCATACCCGTTTATTCGTCGAATTACGAGGAAATATAAGTTAGAGTCCTGTGAAATCCATTTGCCACAACTGAAAGTGAAAAATATTCCCGGCTACAGAGAAGTTAACTTCGATAATTCTTCTCTGTTGTAGGTGTTCACCAAATGAAAGAGTCAAAGTTAATTCGTTCAAAGCAATACCTGGTACTACGTTCGTTCTGATACCGTCTGTCATTTTATTCGAGCAGAATTGAATAAAATTAAATTAGCTGAAGGACTACTTTAATTGGATATAACGTTTATTACAACAACGTTCAAGTAGGTAGATATACATACAGACGAATGTTCACGATGTACAAAATGAATCACGTTTTCTGCATAAATTCTCTCTTTTTTCTTTTTCTTTTTTTTTTTGTTAAATTAATCTTCTAATTACAGTATGTCCATTACCTGTGCTTAACACCTATGTTACATCTAACCGAATGAAAAGTCTTCGGTCAAAAAGTGGTGTCCCTACGATTAAATAAAAATCTTTCCTATACGACAGTCTTATTTCATGCACAAAAAGTCTCTGCATCTTACAGGCATTATATAAAATACGAAATCTATTCAAACATCTCAGCCATTGTGCTGGCAGTAGCAGTCGTTTCGAAGCCTGGGAAATTCACTAGAACATTGTCGATTACTTGGCACGCCTTCTCGAATACGGTCATCGTTTCAGGCTCGGCGTCAATCACCACCACCAACTTGCCATAATATTTCACTATCAACTTGTTTCGCTTGTGAAAGTCCTTGATTTGAGCTTTAATGTACTCGAAGTCTGTCAAAAATCTCTCGGTCGTTTTCACGCTTCTCGCCATCAGCCGGTCGCTCATCACCGAGTTTCGAACGTTCAGCATCAGGACGAGATCGGGCGGTCGCACCTCTTTGTCGAATAACTTCCCTTCGCTTCTCTGCCGGGGAAATCCGCTCACGATGAACCCTTTCTTGTTCAAGTGTTCGAGCATCTTCATCGCTATCAATTCCACTTCCACGTTCGACGGCACCAGTTGACCCTTCGATATTAAACGCGCCAGCACCAGTGCCTTTTCCGTACGCTTGGACATTTCGTGCTGGATCACGTCCGTGGATATTATGTCATGGAAACCGTACTTCTTCGCCACTTGAGCGCACAGTGTTCCTGGAACGAGCAGTCGCGAGTTATCGATAGTTGGGAGTAACTTCTGTTGCGGAATTCTTAGGAAAGAACTTTCCATTCCAACAATTCAAATGGAAGATAAATGAAAGGAATATATCGTTTGGCGAAAGATCATTTATTTCATATATCTTTACTATATATTTTTATTCGAACGCTTCTCTGAATAATTCTGTCAAAGTGTAGAGAACGAGAATAGTCCTCTCTTTGTAATTGATAAAAATCTTCCTTCTTTCAATAAAAAAAACTTGTTATTGATTCTAATTTTTTAAGTAGATTCAAGTCCGAAATTTTGGTAAGTTCAAGTATCGAACTTTTGCGATACGTTCATGCATATCATTTCGTACAACTAGAAATTAACCAAACTGTCAATGTTATTAGGTTATGAGAGAGTCAAAGGGAAATTTCAAACAGTCGTACAAATAAAAATACAAATAAAATAACTTTTTCCAACTCCTGGCCCACCAATGACGAAGATAATCGGCAATCCTGATTCTTTAATCGCCTTTGTGTCGACATTGACGCCTCTCGGAAGGGATGCAATTAAAGGATCGCTAGGCTTTATACAATTGCCCATTTAACTGATCGTTCAAGATTTTCTTTCAATTCTCTTTCTACGGCCAACAACGAAATATCTACATTTAATTATATTTCCTATTCGCGTTATGCAACTTGGAAATATCCGCTTTTTTTGCAATCACGTTCTGTTCATCATGAAGTTTGTCTTGAACTAATGACAATATAAAGTACGAGCTCTTTCAGCATATTATCGAAGATTGATCACACGATTAATCTTTTCTTCTGTAACAAAATTACCATTTTTCCTGCAGTAAAATTAATTGTTAGTAGTAAAATGACGCGTATATAATTTTTGTAATTGATTTGTCGTTTTAAACGGAAAAGAAGTTTGATTTCATTTCTTTCGAGTATAGCAGGATTCCTTCTTCATCGGTTACCGGTATATCGTTTCGAATCTATGCTTTCGAAGTTTT